AAGATATGTGGATATCCACTGCAATGTGGATACTGGATAGCATCAGCAGAAAACCTCGGGACTCGGTACACACTTCGTGAAAATCCGGCCGGAGGCTGTACCTCTTATGACGTCATAACTCCGTGACCTGACCTGACCCGGTCAATTTTCTTGCACCACACGATAGCCAATGCTTGCCCCAACATGCATGGGAAGTTTCATCATGATCCATCAAACAATGTGGGTATCACCGGCAGAAAACCTAGGGATTCGGCGCACACGTTTGGTAACTGTCGGCCGGAGGCTGTACCTCTTATGACGTCATAACTCCGTGACCTGACATGACCCGATCAATTTTTTTCGGCAAAAGATGCGCAAAGGTTGCCCCAGAGGGTATTGAAAATTTCAGCCCGCTACGACAAGCCGTTTAGCGTGCACTTCGAAAAAACCTCGGGGGGGGGGTTGATACAACCCCCCCCCCCTAGGCGTTCTAGGGTTAACATATTCATTTACTACTTGCGGTATGTTCTGCTTCTGAAGCTTAGGAACGCTTAGCCAGACTACAATGAAACTTTGAATGTAGCTTGCATGTATCGTCACCCTTGCAGCTGCAAGTTTATCTATTGACGTCTTCTATTCGATCACTCCGCATTTATAAATCGCCCGTCAAAGCCATCCATTGATATTGGTAAAACCGCATATTACTTCAGCTGTGGGCTGTACACTCGTCAAATATATCTGCAAGTCATCAATCTATGTTTTTACTTTCTTCTCGAAGCAGTCTGTGTTCAAGAGCCTCACGAGCTACCTGCGCTCAAAAAAGTTACTTAAAAACCGCCCAAGAAACGGTGCGAAACTGAGTGTTTTAACATTGTATGGGCATCTCTATATTATAAGATCTCTATGGGTGCGAAGTTGGCGCAGACCCCCGTCGGTGCGCGGGTTAATATTTCTCAATATGTTTTTTCAAATGGTTTAAATGGATATATTTAGGCATTTTGGGTCATCCCTGATGCTTTCGATATATTCGATAATCGAAAAAGCATAAACACACGATACATATGTATTGCATCACAATTCACATGTTACATACATACACTTTGAACACTCTCACGACACGCCGCGCTGGTTCGACTCTGCCAGTCACTGCTGCCACTGCTGAACAGTCACTGCTGCTGTGGCAGTCGTCGCTGTCGACATCACTGCTGTCGGCGCCGTCGTCACGACGTAGCTGATTCTCTCTCTCTCTCTCTCTCTCTCTCTCTCTCTCTCTCTCTCTCTCTCTCTCTCTCTCTCTCTCTCTCTCTCTCTCTCTCTCTCTCTCTCTCTCTCTCTCTCTCTCTCTCTCTCTCTCTCCTCTCCCTCTCCCTCTCCCTCTCCCTCTCCCTCTCCCTCTCCCTCTCCCTCTCTCTCTCTCTCTCTCTCTCTCTCTCTCTCTCTCTCTCTCTCTCTCTCTCTCTCTCTCTCTCTCTCTCTGGCTTCAGTCGCTGCTGCTGCTGCTGCTGCTGCGGCCGTCGTCGCTCTCGGCATCACTGTTGTCGCTGCTGCCGTTGCCGTCGTCAGCCGCCGCCGTGGGCGCGTGAAGCTTCGGCTCTGCCAGCAGAGCCAGGGTCTGCGGCTGCAGCTGCCCGTGCCGGTTTGTGTAGAGGCGTCTGCGGCGCTGCAGACCCAGGCTGCTGAGCAGCGCACTATGGTTGGAAACGGCCTCACGGATGGCCATGGGCAATTTCGGAATATATGTATATTTGGGGTGTCATTCTGTTGGAAATTGATGAAATGTTTTGAATTGGGCAGAAAAAAAATACTTAGTTGCGCATTTAGTCTTCATTATCGTGCGTGGAATCGGGAGTTTCTGATAGTGGCCTTATTGGTGCGCCGTCAAAGGTTTAAACAACCGCGCTGGCGATTGCATGTGGAGTACCTCAATGACGTTGTAAAACTGGATTATTATATATCAAAATAATCCTTGTTATGTTGGCTATCGAGTGGAGTGACTCTTTTTCCCATGTGTGTTCAAAATCAGGAACGGCATTGCATTCTGTTTGCAGTGTCACCACAGCAACATTTGCAAAATTACGTTTATGTTTCATTGGACATACAAAAAGTTCTCCATCGACCTCCATTGAGCTTTTTGGCAGAATAAGTCTCTGTTCAATTCTGTGTGAGGGGAACCTAAAAGCAAACTGCGCACTTGTGCGCAAAATCGTCCATGAAGCTTCATCTCCCGAGGCGTACCTACCCGTCGCTTCGTTAGCAGCAGGTCTGCTCGTCAGTCGTGCAATGGCTTATCCTAATAAATGATGGTAAGAAGCAGGGTTGCGAAGTCAAGGTGGCGCCAAATCCGACTCCTACTCCGACTCCGACTCCTGTCTCGTTGCCATGACTCCGGGCGACTCCGTCTCCGACTCCGGACCCCTGCCAGTGTTTCGGAGTCGTGATGGAGCTGTTCCGATTTCGACCGACTCCGACTTCCACTGCGGGCTCCTGACCGACTCCGACTCCGACTCCGACTCCTGGCTCGTTGCCACGACTCTGGGCGACCCTGACTCCGACTTTGACTCTGACTCCGACTCTGACTCCGACTCTGACTTCGACTCCGCCCCCTCGTAAGAAGTAACTGCTCGCCCCTGCACCTGGAGTATGGATATCGTGCAAACGTGTATGGATATCCTGGAGTATGGATATGGATATCCACTGACAGAACAGACATACAGACATGCTGTAAACGCCATTACACTGCCAATACCATGGTAAATCCAATGGCTATCTATGATTTTTGATCATCGTTCTAGATTTTCCAAAATCTTGAACTGAATCTTGGCAATTTCTCGTGACTACTTCACGACCATGATGCATGCATTTCTGAAATTGATCTTTTTTTCAACTAACCACGTACTCGTATGATAAAATGAATGTCACCATCGTGTTCTACGCCCAAAAGTATCCATAAAACATGTGTCGTGGGCTACGAATAGGTACCAGTTTTAATTTTCGGGGTTATGTGCTTACCTGATTGACCTGACTTTGACCCTGGCCTATGTTTGACTGACCCCTACATGGATCTGACACTCTTTTAGCACTTATATGAAGGGTTGTGCACAGTTGTGACAGAGTTTATGGCGAGAGGCACCGATTGCGAGGTTCTAAAGTCCATACTACTGAAAGCCTGATTTCAAGTGTCTGACCTGACCTTGACCCGACCGGTGACCTCGAAATTCAACTTTCAAGTATTCATCTGAATTGTCTCGTCGCGTTCTTTCGTTTGCCGCCTCGTGCGTTTCGCTGCGCCTATTGGTTCTCGAGTTATCGGCTGGGGGCGTTGAACGCCCTCCCCCCGGCAAACGGCGGGTGGGGAAATACCCCAGCAACTGCCGGGTTAATCAGACGCATTTTTTGTCATTTTGATCGTCATTTTATTTCTTACCTTTTTGTCCAATCTAAAAAAAATCATTTATACCTTTTCTCCAAACTTTTGACCCTTTATGACAAATAGTAGGACACTGTGCGTCACTACGTTGATATTTCTCGCCCTAAAGCATAACAACAATATCCATTCAGTATAGCAGTATTCAAAACATGTTCAAAATGCCTCGCTATATCGATGACATTACGAAAGACCTAGGCGACTTATAACATGCTTGCAATAATGACGTCACACATGCGTGACGTGACGGGACCTTGTCGTTTCTGAGTTGCTGTATGATGCACAAAAGACACTGGTATACCTATGCAAAGTTTCATCGTAATCGGTCCACGCATTAAAAAGTTATAGGGCAAAACATTTTTCGCGTTGACCCCCGGCCATCCGTAAGGCCGTTTCCAACCATAGTGCAGCGGGTCGCTCGCCACGAGCAGGTAGCCCAGGAGGTCCGACATCGTGTGGATCCTCGAATCCTTGCGGGTGTGTCGAAGGCGGTACTGGCGGACCCGCTTGTGGGTAGCCTCTGCTGCTTCCTCAGACATCATACCGATCGGGAGGTGGCAAGACTCCACCACGGCCGCCCAGTGGCTCAGCAGCTTGTGCAATGTGCAGCGTGGTGGACATGGGGTGGTGGCTGTACCTCTCGTCATTCCGGATCCTGTCGGGTCACGCACCGTCCGCCTCCAGGTCAGGTCACGGCGCGCGGCTGGGTCATGACTGAGCGGTGTGCCGTCGGTCATGTTTAAACTCGAGCTACCGGTGAGGCGATCAAGTTCGAGCAGGAAAAAAAGGTCGGGCCAAGTCAAAAAATGCTGGCAAATTGCAATCATGCTAGATTAGATCTGACGTGGCGGCAAACGGCGGTAGTTGTTGAAATCTTCGGTTTTCATGAAACATCTTTATGAAAACGCTATGCATGTATTGGTTTGATTCTATCAGTCGTAACGTGCAGACGATATGTCAGCCAGTATTGCAAGTTATCCTATCGTTTTTTAGAGACATTGAGAAGAACAATGGTGTATGATTTATATCAATTCAATATGTATTACACTATGTAAATTTGCGTTACAAAAGTCGCGTTCTCGTCCGCAAATCGGCAGGATATGAGAAAGCCAACAATTTGTCCACTTTGAGTAGTCAAATCACCCCCTAAAAGTTGCCATATGTGCAAAATTCAGGTGGTTTCATAAAATTCAGGCAATTTCCTATACATTCAGCCATATTTCAAGCAGATTTTCGAAAGTCACTTTCTTGATTAAATTCGCCCTAAACTGGCGCGCGGCTCGTCCGTGGTGGGTTGAAAATGATAGCCTTGCCTGCTTGCAATAATTCATGCCTTCTGTGTATGACTTACCGTGATAACATCTAGTGCAGCGACAGCATGAAAAGGCGGGGGCTCGCAAATACCTACTACCCGGGACCCAGCATTCACTCCACTGCGCCCAACCCCCAATCGTGCAGTAATCACGTGCGGACCATGTGCAGTTAGTTGGTGTTTCTGAGGGAGCTCTATGACAACTGCCGGAAGCGCCTGCGTCTGGTCAGTCGTCCACTGCCCTCTGCCCCCCCCCCCCCCGTCTGTCCGTCGCCAGGCAAATATTCCGCCTCACGGTGACTCTGAGCTCTGAGCTGCCACAGTCAGTCCGGCGACGGTGCCGCCCTGAAGCGGAGGGCGCACCGTTTTATAGCGAAACGCTCCGGCTAGAGCCGCTGACAGGTGAGTGTGCCTGCAGACTCGCCCTGCAGAGTAGTACTTTTCTGGCCTGTGCAGGGTACGGGCCGACGCAACCCTGGACAACGCACTCAGACTGCAGGAGGATTGAAGAGCATATTGACGGTATTTTTTTTATCTAATGTAGGTCTTAACCCTCGCCCGTAAACGGTGTTTTGCCACCTTCGCCCATGCAGGGGGGGGGGGGTGCGACCCCCCCTGGCGTTTGAAAACGGAGCGTTGTAGAGCTTAGCGGAAAAGACCAACGGATTGCTCTCAACGAGATCTCGCGATCGGTGGTATATTTTTTGGTCCTAGGTCAACATTTGGCCTACTTATGACTGGTCAAAGTTCAAATTTTCGGAAAAATCTAACTTTTTCAGATTTCCGCGCCGATTGCGGCAAAACGGTAAGAGATATCGACTTGAAACCTTCACTGTCGTGATCCTTGATCAATTCTCTATCGTTTGGTGTGTATTTCGATGTCATAACTCTAAAAATGATGCGTTGGGAGCATCGGAAGTCTGCAAGGTCATTTGTGCATTGGGTCACGTCAGGCGTGAGACGTCACTGACCTGACCCTGACCCAAAATGAACTACAAGAAACAACCTAGGATGCCTGAAATGGATAGCAAATTCGAATTCAGGGCATCAAAATACCCCGAAAAGGCATACAAGTGCAAGATGTCATTACAGGTCAACCCAGGTCACTGACCTTACCTTGACCTTTAGTAACCTTCAAAATGTCAACGGACATTGTGCCAATGTCAAATCAGCCAGTTGTGAGTTGTGATTCTAAAACAATCCATCAGTGTGTCATGTCAGTCGGCATTTATACCAATGTGAAGCAATCTCAAATTTAGCGTAAATCTGGCTGGAGGTTGTTCCCTTAATGACGTCATAACTCCTTGACCCTTATGACCTTGACAAAAAAATACCAAAAGTTGCGCAAAGGATGCCCCCAGAGGGTACTGAAAATTTGAGCAGGCTATCTGAAACGGTTCGGCGTGTAGCTAAGAAAAACCTCAGGGGGGGGGGGGGTGCACCAACCCCCCTCCCTACATGGGCGAGGGTTAACCCTCGCCGGCCGAGGGGGGGGGGGGCGGGTGCCGCCCCCATAGGGTTTTTTCGCGATAGCTCCGAACACGCTGGCGATAGAGAGAGCTGAAACTTGGCATACCTGACCTTTGATCCCAGCTGGATCTTTTGACACCAACCTCATTTTTGGGTCAGGTCAGGTCATTGACCTATGGCGTCATAAGCGAACCTCTGCACGGTCTTCAGATGTAGCAACTTCGCAACGCCCTCACTGCCAGAGGAGATGTCACAAGGAAATGAAACTTGCAGGATCTAGTATCCATTATGAGTTCCACAACTTGTTTATCTCGAATTTTTCCTAAAGGTCATATGAGGTCAGGTCATTTTCGTGACCTCACTGAAAACTGCTATTCTGGCGCTGGGAACGATCTCCAAATATCTCAAGCACACAGAATCGTGATTTGATGCACTCCTTGCAAGGTTAGATGCGTCACTTTTGCAATGTTGACCTTGCGTGACGTCATTTATGACGTCATCAAGGTCATATTAGTTTTTCGTCAATAACTCTTGATCAAATTGAGCTAGCGAGTCGGGAAAGCCACCAATGGACTCAGAGGAAGGCCTGCCGAATCGAATGATATGCGACATGACCTCTTTCGACCAGCTTCGTGACCTGGGGGTGTCGACCTGACCTTGACCTGAGGTCAACACCCCAAGTTGACCTGACCCGGACAAAAAGTATATCATTCGACGCGCCTGAGCGAGGCAAACACGATGCTGCCAAAATCGGCGCTCTGCGGTCATTTTTTGCGAAGTTATTCACCAAAAACTGAACCGTACCTTGGGGCACTTGACCTGACCTCAGAGGTCACCGGTTGACCTAGGACCTTAAAATCGGATACCAATCTCTGCGTCTCGTAACGGCGCACACGCTCGTTCTTTCCGCGACGCGCTAGCTCCACCAGGGGCGAAACGGCGAGGGGGGGTCGTACCCGCCCCCCCCCCCTCGGCCGGCGCGTATGTAGAAAACCAATAGGTCCGGCGAGGGTTAAAAGGTATCACATGATGTATTATTGCGTGCCGATAAGCGACTCCGCGTCCATTTTCCTCTCAATCAGTCTCAGTCTCAGCCAGCTTCGCAATGTGGCCACAACCAATTTTCTTTTAAAAAAAAACTAAGAAAGCGAGAAAGATGCAGAAAAGCAATAGATAGGTTGCTAGCTTTAGTGTCTCACAAAGGTCATTTTCGATCAGGTCGTTGCTGCTGTAACTGTAGGTTACTTACTTTGTGCAGTGTAAATGGCATGCTCTGATTAGCGACCCCGCTAAATTTGAATTCCGCTGTATCACAGCGTGTCCGTTCGTTTGTGCTGCGAAAGTCTTATTTTTACTATCATTAGTATTTGAACATTTTCTACACACACACTTACGTATTCTTAGTTACTCACTTATGTACCTACTCACGTATCCTTCAACCTTCACCATAACGTCATGGAATTTGAGATCACGTAACCCCTTGCAAAAACGTAAATGGGTAAGATATCCCCGCGGGTTAACCCGCGCCCTGGTGGGGGACCATTTTTTGCCGCCCCCCCTTCCATACCTACTTTTCGATATATCTCCAGAACCGCTGCGCCAATCGTCACCAAACTTTCAGTACCCTCCCGAGCATTAATTTTACACATTGTTACCAAAAAAAAAATCCAAAGGGATAGGTTGACCGCAAATGACGTCAGAATGACGTCATGTTCTGCCGCTTTCGACCCCAAAAAAGGTTCTGCGGGAAGAGCTGTCAGGCATATAGCTTTGAAGATACAAAAAAAACGTTTAGCACATAAAAGGTGTAAAATTATCAGGACTACGAAACTGGCGTCTCGAAATCTCGATATTTTTTCCTTTTGACCTAAAAAAGTACCTAAAGAATATAATTTTGTTTGAAATATACCTACTTGTCAAAAAACAAAACAAAAAGTGTTTTGATTTCCGAAAAAAGCAGAATTATGTGATAGCACTTGTCTACCTCTATTCAAAGATCAAATTTTAGATCGATGCCTCTTTTTTGGCCAAGTTACATCGAAAAAAAAACTGTTCAAATTAACGTCAAATTTTCAAACTCACTTTTTAACCATTCTAGACCACGTAGCGCAAAACAAAGAACACCATTAGATTCGGCGTGACGAGCTGCATCGAACTATTACCCATTTAACCCGCGCATGACGGGGGGAGGGCTGTCCCGTATTTCGGCAATATCTTTTAAATCATTTGACGAATCAGCACGAAAATTGCAGAACCCTCAGCAGCATCAATTTGACACCTTGTGTTAAAATTTCAACATTCTAGCTACAATAATTTGGCCGAAACTGACGTCAGAGTGACGTCATGTCAGCCGATTCTCATGCAAAATATTGAATTACGGCAAACGCTCTCAAGAGCTTAGTTTAAAGATAGATCCGATTCCTTTGCATCAGTGGACTACAAATACACGTAGCTATCAAACTGCTATCTCGAATTTTCAAAATTTTGAAAATTTTGAAAAATATGTTTTTACAACTACGAACAAATATTTTTTTTATTTAAAAGTTTTTGATTTTTCGCAAAAATAGGAATACATGTGATAGACGACACACTGATGAACTACTCTACCAAGTTTTAGCTAAATATCTTTAAAAATAGCGAAGTTATTTGCATTATTGTCAAAATTTTACAATTAGGTATACCTTTATTCTTTCAAAACCATTTTTAGTACGTTTCTGACATCCTAGAGCAATATAAATGGCACCATCGTGTTCCTGAGCCCAAACTGCATCTGATAGGCATCTTTTTTGTTGAAATATTTCATTTTCAAAATTTGACCTTTTCTCACCTGAAAGTGACCTGACCTCCAGTAAATTCAGCTGAAAATGACCTCAAATGACACAAACAACATTATTTTCGAAATATACGAGTAAATTGACCATAAAACATGCGTCACGTGACCGATATAATATGATGTACAGCTTTCATGACCTAGGATGACCTGGCCTTGACCTGAAAAATTCGAAGTTAAAGTTTGGTACCCTCAGGGTATCTAAGGCATATGTCAAGGAGTACGTAAACCAAAAATGAGCCTGATCGGACTTGTCAGCCGGCGGCCAGAGCCTAAATTGTGAACAAGCAAAAACGCCGATAATTTTTACTTTGACCTGACCTGTGACGTCATCGGTGACCCTGAGGTCAATGAAATTAGGTTTTGTTCGACAGTTTTTGCAGGGCTATCAGATGCTGTTTGAATTTTGACGATCGGTCCAGTAGTTTCGGAGATAGGAGGGGGGACTCTGGAGAGCCCCCTCAGTCACTCGCGTTATGTAAAATACCCCAGTCATGCGCGGGTTGATGCAAAAAAAAATCAACTTTGAAATTCAACCTTTTTGACCTGACATTGACCTGACCTCCACCAAGGAAGTGACCTAAACCATTCCTGATGGTCTTATGCCCAACGCCATTGAATTTGAATTGAAAAATTGTCCATAAAACATGCACCACACAGTTCTAGTAAAATAGGGATCATGTGCTGACCCTTGGTGACCTGACCTGATATTATCAGTGACCACTAATAGCAATATATGTATGGACTAGGCAACTGACGCCCTATCGCCGCTTTTTCGATAAAATGTGTTTTACTCGATATTATAACGCATTCCCTATAGAAGACCCGTGACCGGCAAAACTTTTCATCTTTGACCTGACCTGTGACACCTGTGACGTCATCGGTGACCCCGGGGTCAATGAAATTTGATTTTCCGCGACAAACTTGACATGGCTTTCGAACGCCGTTTGAATTTTTGCAAATTCGTCCAGTAGTTTCGGAGATACGAGGGGAGCAAAAATAGCCTCCCACCGCCAGGTCGCGTTACATATAAACAAACCCCACCAGTGCGCGGGTTAATAACCCGCGCCCCGCTGGGGGGGGGGGCAGAATCTGCCCCTCCCGTTTTTCGCCAATAACTTCTAAACGCGTTTTGCCGCCGACCTGAAACTTTCAGTACCTTATCATACATCACTTTGACACGTTCCCTGAAAATTTGAGCGAAATCCGTCGGAAAAAGTTTGAGAAAATGACGTTTTAGTGACGTAATGTTCACCTTTTTCGTCTCAAAAACGGCAAAATTTCAAACGCCGCTAACATCTTCATTTTTAAAGGAATCAAGACGTAACAAAAAAGGTTATACGTGATATTGATTTGTCTATCAAGTGCTCTCTCAGTTTTTTGAAAATGTTGGATTCTGGCCCAATAAAAAACTGATTTTTTTTGGAAAATAATTATAAAATTCAAAATTTTGAGTGCATCGTAACAAACTGCATACATGTCAGAGAAGTGGTCTATGTGCACCTACATACCAATTTTTAGAAGAATTAGTTCAAAAATGTGGGAGTTATTCAAAATTGTATGACGTCACGACACACATTTTTTGAAAAAAAATGATATTTTTGGAAGTTCTAGACCTCGGACGGTAACAACAATAGCACCATTCGATTCACCGTGAAAAACTGCATCAGATAGATACCTTTTTAGGCCTTAACAACCAACTTCAAAATTTGGCCTCACTTGACCTGACCGTGACCTGACCTCGACCTGAAATTCATCCAGAGGTGGTCCATATCACTTATTGAGTGTGCCTATTGAATTCTATGAATAAAATGACCCATAAAACATGTGTCGCACATGCCCTTTCTAGGTATATTTTGTTTTTGGTGACCTGACCTGACCTGACCTGACTTTGACCTTGACCAATTGAATGGTATTGTATGCAACGAATATTGTCTTGGTAGTCTAAGTACACGTTTTGGGCAATTTGTCTCAGTCCATTCTTCGGCAACTACGGTGCAAGGCCGATACTGTAGAAACTTGGACTTTGTACTCTTGACCTGACCTCTGACCTACTTAACCCTCGCCCGCACATGCCATTTTCCCATCCTAGAACGCAACATGGGGGGGTGGTTGCCACCCCCCCCCCGCGCCATTTCGTTACTGTTGGAGCTAGAGCTTAGCGGTAAAGACCAAAAAGATTCTTTGGGAAGAGACGAATCCAATGATACCCAGTTTTACCTTCTCAGGTCAGTCATTGACCTTCCAGGTCAGGTCAAACTAAAAAATGTTGCTGTTTTGGGTCACCGTTGGATATCAAGTGCGCTGCTTATCAAATACCGATGACGATGCTGTTTTCTGGTGCCAAGCCAGCTAGAACCTCTTTGTCACACTATCCGACCAGAATTTTGCTGCTGAGGTCATTTCAGGTCAAGTTGGGTTAAGGTCAATTATATATGTTTGTATGTCTGTGTGTGTCTGTGTGTATACTGATGTGTGCACCGATTGTTTTTGGGTCCATATTACATGAAATCATGATCTGAGAAGCTTTTACCAAAAATGCAGTCAAAAAACTTCAAAAAAAGTAAATTCAGCTTGCCTAAAACGCAATTATCTTAGATGACCTAGGTTGACCTTGACCCTGACCTTGACCCCTGTACATCGTCGAACAACATGTTCCATGATAGGTGGGAGGTAAGACTGGCAAAAAAGGCCGAAATCCGGGTGTCAAAAGCTCACAAGGCCCATGGCAAACGCAAGATGTTGATAATTGGCTATTTGGGTCATGACATTACCTGAAAAACAAGGTCATATCTCCGAAACCAAAAATCACAGAAACTTGAAATTTTCAGTAGACATCAAGAAAGGATAGAGGAGCAGCTATACGAAAAATCAGCCTTCTACATAGCTCTAAAAATGTTGAGTGCAGAGCAGAAAGACTACCTGGAGGGGGGGGGGTGGCAACCACCCCCCATGTGCGGGCGAGGGTTAAGCAAAAAAATGGGCTCTTAACCCGGCAGGCGGTGGGCCTACAAGCCACCTTCCGCGCGGTGGGGGGGGGGGATTTTTTGCCCCCACCGTATCTCCGAAACTACTGGACGGATCCGGAAAATTCAAACGGCGTTCGATAGCCCTGTCAAATTTGTCGAAGGAAACCAAATTTCATTGACCTCGGGGTCACCGATGACGTCACAGGTCAGGTCAAAGATAAAATGTTTCACCGTTCACGGGGCTTCTAGGGAAAGCGCTATAACACCGAGTAAAACGCATTTTGTCGAAAATCAGCGATAAGGCGTCAGTTGTCTAGTACATATGTTGCTATTAGAGGTCACTGGTCATACCAGGTCAGGTCACAGGTCAGCTCACCAAAGGTCACAAGGGTCACCACATGAGCCCAACTTTACTAAGGCTATGCGATGCATGTTTTATGGCCAGTTTTTCATTTCCAACTCAATGGTGTTGGTTATAAGACCATCAGGTACGATTTAGGTCACTTTCTGGTGGAGGTCAGGTCAAGGTCAGGTCAAAAAAGGTCAAATTTCAAAGTTGATATTTTTGCATAAAATGGGTATCTATCTATTCGATGCAGCTCGTCACGGGGAGTCTACCTAATGGTGGTCTTTGTTTTGCGCTACGAGGTCTAGAATTGCTAAAAATCGAGTTTGAAAATTTGACGTCATCAATTTTGAACAGTTTTTTCGCTATAACTTGGCCAAAAAAAAGGAGGTATCGATCTCAAATTTTGTATGTAGATAGAAGGCGGTAGGGACTATCACATTTATTCCGTTTTTTTTTTCGAAATTTACAAAACTTTTTGTTTTGTTTTTTGCTGTTATATTCAAAAAATCTATTTTTTTTTATTTTTGGGGGTCAAAATAAAAAAATCGAAAAACCGAAATAGCAGATTTGTAGCCCTCTTGATTCCACACCTTTTATGTCTGAAACATTTTTCTGTGTCTCTAAAGCTGTAGGCCTGACAGCTCTTCCCGCGAAACCTTTTTTTGGGTCGAAAATGGCAAAAATGACGTCACTCTGACGTCATTAGCGGCCAACCTATCATAGCCTTTGGAAAAATATGTGGTCACCATGTGCACTAGCTGCTCCCGGGAGGGTACTGAAAGTTTGGTGACGATTGGCGCAGCGGTTTTCGAGATGTATTGAAAAACTAAAGAGGGGGCAAAAAAAATGCCCCCCCCCTCACCGCCTGGAAGGTTAAGATTCGCCTTGTTGAGAGCTTTCGATTGCCGTTTTCCCCGTCTTTCTACGACCATCGGTTCGGAAGTTAGACAGGGGGGGGGCAGAGTCCGCCTCCCCCCCCCCCCCCCCACCCAGCAGGGCGCGTATGGCTGAATAGCCCAGCGGGGCGCGGGTTAAGGGCGGGAACCAAAACAACAGAAGGATTTTGCCGAAACCTTTTTCCACAAAAGCCTTGGCTTTAGTGGAAAATTGTGTCCCGTACACAAGTGTCCGCTGTGCCGGCAGGAGTGATTTCGTGTTACCCGTGTTCCGTGACCCGTGCAGCAGTGTCCGCTGTGCCGGTAGGAGTGATGCCGTGTTACCCGTGTTCCGTGACCCGTGCAGCAGTGTCCGCTGTACCGGCAGGAGTGATGCCGTGCCCGCCGGCGGCCCTGTTGGCGGCGGCCCTGCCGTGCGCGCTGCTGTCCCCGGTCGGCGCGGCGGCCGACCCGCGGCCGCCGATCCCTGCCAACTCCACCTGGGAGGGCCGGCCGCAGTTCTGGCAGGTGGCGGCCGTCGACTGGTCGCCGCCGGCGGACGCCATCTACGCGCGCCGGCCGGCCCGTGACGCCCACCACTGCGGCCACCTGTGCCTGCTGGACGGCTCCTGCGCCGCCGCCGACCTGGTGAACGGCTCGGAGGGCCTCACCTGTCGGCTGGCGTCGCGCCGCGGCGGCGGCAGCGGCGCCAATGCCTCGGCGGTGGCCGCGCTGGTCCGGCGCGGCCGCGCCCAGCTCGGGGAGCGCTGTCTCACCGATGGTGAGTGCTGGCAGGGTCTGGAGGGTGCCGGGTGTGTGGACGGCGTGTGTGCGTGCCCGGCGGAGGCGCTGACGGCGCGCGGTGACTGCGTCATCAGCGACTGTACCGAGCTGACGGCGCTGGGCGTCACCACCAGCGGCCAGCACTGGGTGCGGCTGGCCGCCGGCGCCGCGCCCGTCGGCGTCTTCTGTAACATGGATAAGGACGGCGGCGGCTGGACCGTGTTCCAGCGGCGCCGGAACGACACCGAGCAGGTCGACTTCTACCGCTACTGGCACCACTACCGCGACGGCTTCGGCACCGTCACCGGCCAGTTCTGGCTGGGCAACGAGCTGATCCACCGTTTGACGGCGCGCGGGCCGCACCAGCTGCGCATCGACCTGTTCGACTTCGAGGGTAACCACCGCCTGGTGCGGTACAGCTCGTTCGCCGTGGCCGGCGAGGGCGACTGCTACCGACTCTCTGTGTCCGGCTTCTCGGGCGCCATCGGCGACTCGCTTGGCCGCCACAACGGCCAGTGCTTCTCCACCAAGGACAGGGACAACGACCGGTACGACACGGGGTCGTGCTCCCGCAGGTTCCGCGGCGGCTGGTGGTACCAGCGCTGCCACACGGCCAACCTGAACGGCTTCTACTGGCGAGGCACCTTCACCGAGTACGCCAGTGGCGTCTCGTGGTACCACTGGCTCGGCCACCAGTACTCGCTGAAAACAACCGCCATGCTGCTGAGGCCAGTCGACGCCGCATCCACTACTCGGTGAATAGGCACCACCATCCGCGGCCACTACTCGATGAATATGTACCGCCACCCACGGCCACTACTCGGTGAAAAGGCACCGCCACCCGCGGCCACCAGGTACTCGTTGAATAGGCACCGCCACCCGCGGCCACTACTCGGTGAATAGGCACCGCCACCCGCGGCCACCAGGTACTCGTTGAATAGGCACCGCCACCCGCGGCCACTACTCGGTGAATAGGCACCGCCACCCGCGGCCACCAGGTACTCGTTGAATAGACACCGCCACCCGCGGCCACTACTCGTTGAATAGACACCGCCACCCGCGGCCACTACTCGTTGAATAGGCACCGCCGTCCGCGGCCACTACTCGTTGAATAGGCACCGCCACCCGCGGCCACCAGGTACTCGTTGAATAGACACCGCCACCCGCGGCCACTACTCGATGAATAGGCACCGCCACCCGCGGCCACTACTCGATGAATAGGCACCGCCACCCGCGGCCACTACTCGGTGAAAAGGCACCGCCACCCGCGGCCACTACTCGGTGAATACTGAATAGGCACCGCCACCCGCGGCCACTACTCGGTGAATACTGAATAGGCACCGCCACCCGCGGCCACTACTCGGTGAATAGACACCGCCACCCGCGGCCACTACTCGATGAAAGGACACCGCCACCCACGGCCACTACTCGATATAAAGGCACTGCCACCCGCAGACGGATCGCGCAGGGGGTGAGGCGAAACGCTTCCCCAGATCTCATACAGCAACGCCGATATCGCCAACAAACTTTCACACTTCTTTAGTGCAAGCGTTGATGTAAACGTTCCAGACAAAAGAGCTGGTGCTAATGAACCGCTGTCTGGAAGTTTCGAATTTCGGATAGAACAATCACAAAAAATGGATATTTGTCCTTAAAAGTTCAGTTTGTTCAGCCAGTGGCGGATTACCACACCGAACAACATTACAACAAGAAGTTACACGACATTACTGTTCAGTATGCGTTGATAACACGCAAGTCATGAATGATGAAAAACTGTGCGTCACAGGTGATCACGTTCCTTCACATTCATTTAGCGTAAATATTGCATGACAAGGCCATTTTGTCGGCCACTTTCTCGCACTTCTGCCATTCGGAAGGCTGTTTTTTTTTTTTTTTTTGAAAACCTAGCGTATTTTGACAATACCCCAGCTTTCATACGTTCTTAAAATCGAGCCATTACAAAATATATTCATTGTAAACGCCTGGACAGAGCCTAAAAAGGGCATAAGCGCTCATTCCATTGTCGTATTAAACTGTGGAAGTTTCATGTGAGGTGTTCAGCGTTCAACCAGAGAGTAACAAATAACAAAGCGAACAATGTATGCATGTCGAACTTTGAATGAGACATAGACACGCACAACATGAAGTCATTACAACCATTCACTGTGGGCACACGGGCCAAAGCTCGACGGAAGGGCCCAGCGCCGGTGGAGCGGCCGGAGAGCGCCCGCACAGCCCCTCTGTCACCTAAAACAACGCGGCATCGCCGGGGCTGGGTTCGATTCCCAGCACCGCACTGCGTGCCACACCGGCGCAGCACCCACAACGGCTCACCAGCTGCGCACGCTGAAACGTCAGGGCGGCGCCAACACGAAACGGTACATACAGTGAACACCTAGCCAACAGGCCATGGAATATGTCAAGTGGTTCAACCATCAAATATAATACCGTGTATATCTGACATTTAGTTCCATCACCACGCACTCCAAACACCACCTACCACCCGGCCAGCAGGACACTCACGCTCGGAGGGCGCCCGCCCCGGTCAGCGTTCACCCCAGGCGCCCCGCAGAGACAGACCACGCAGTGACCGGGGGCGCCGCCCCTCTCCGGAAGATAAAACGCCCAGCGGACGCCAGCCACTCGGCGCCGCAGGAAGACGGACAGATCAGAGCGGGGCAGCCGGCCGACCCGCAGTAAAACACAGCCCCGAACACCGGCCCACGCCTTCAGCCGCCCCCCCCCCCCCCAGCACACAGTCGGACACAGGAAACTAGCCTTCAGCACGTCTCCGCCGCACCCGCCGGCCTGGAGACCTCCAAAACGAGGCCGAATGGTCCCGGGCCGGCGGCACTTGGTCAGCCGCCCAGCGGCGATAGTAACAGATACTCACGTCTCGGTATAAAACGCCAGCATTGCACAACCGATCTGCGAGCTCCGCGCCGCTCGCCAACAGGTATCACCACGGACGGCACTGCGCCGGCAGACGACGGGCCGAACCGCGCCAGCCACCAGCCCGGCTTTGGAGCTCATATCCGAGTGGCTGTGCCCACCTGGAATAACAGAAAACGTGGCAAAAATCACATGGTAAATTAAGTGCGGATTCAAAACGTTGAAACACTCCAAAAGGCAATCACACAATGTGTCATGCGAACTCTGAAAAAATGCCGAAACATAAATTAAAGATGGGTAACAAAAAAGGAGCGATGACTTGTAAATGCGATCCGGATGCACGGCAAATACAAAAGTGATTCAAATTATGTCTACAGTTGCCCTTGCCATAGGGTGCCAAAATCAGCAACCCAAAACCCCAAACCGAACCACCCCCTCCAAACAGCAAAGGTACAAGGTGCATCGTCCATCGGTGCGCGTTTCACTACAATAAGTCAGCGGCAGCGGCGACAGTCGTGGCAGCAGCGGCGGACTGTGTTCGGACGGACCACACAGGACACCGTGCTATTAACCAATCACCGGAGCGCGTGACGCACGGCAAATTATGTTTCGTCCGTCAGGACCCATTAGAAAGCCTGCAGGACGTCAACGCAGTCATCGCACTGAGGAAATAATACACTAGGTTGGCCCGATTCGTGCACAGAGCCCACGATATGCGTGTTCCGAGTCAATGGCACACGCTGAGTCCGGCACTGCATCGCAACAAAGCACAGAGACGCGAAGAAATGTCAGTGCACACAGCCGAAAGGGTGTGCTTTGGATGCTAGCCCGTGACAGAAATACGAATACGGCAGCATGGCACGCCATGACAAACCACCAGCCGCCACCGCCACTAGAAACGAGGCGGTACGTCCACCGGCAGCTTTATTAGTCCGCATAGGCCACAGTTTACGTCACACTTCATTACGGCGGCCTCCATCGACGACAAAGTCACCGACAAGCCTACCGACACCGAACACCGACAAGCCTACCGACATCGAACACTGACAAGCCTACCGACACCGAACACCGACGCGCCAAAAATAAGTCCAACACAATATCGCATGCAGCCCTATAAAACCACCCACGCCTGCGAGCGCGCCGCAAATCGAGGTCGAAAATGGAAATACCCCAGACAAAGTGCAATGCTGTCTTCTCGATGAAAATGTACAAACAGCTGACGGGTGCAACCATAAAGCCTCACACAGGAGTATGGGGTTGGTATTTAACTAAAACATAATGGGCAAGCATAAAAATATAGTCTTCGACACATTAAATGGAGCACAAAAATTATGTGAACGGCGCTTCAGTTCAGAGCTAAATAACTCTTTGGATATTTTATGTTTGGTACGTTTGCAATCGTGAAGGTGCCAGCAGTTTAGCCACAGACCGCTGTCTACGCCAACACGTTACAATAACGGTGGGCGGTTCGCGTCGGGCAGGGCCGGGTAACTGCAGCAGTGCTGATACGAGAACAAGGCGAGTTGACGGTCAGAAAACCCAGCAACCCATTCAGACGAGGCAACAAGACTTGTTCACCATCCACCTCGCGACATTCGCCAAACAAGTAACGACGCTAGTGTTTTCCCGGCCACTTAACGAGGTTACATGGTACGAAACTAGTTGCTTTACATTTCACCTGAGATAAATGACACTGGTTGAATTCACAGAAAAGCCTGTAGTTATTATCGTAATTTTAGGGAATGTGCACACAGCATTGAGCGGAGAACCAAACGATTGGAAACTGCACATCTTTTCGCCCTGAGTTAATCTTACACAAAACACCGGAATTACTCCCCATCGCATATCACATAAGAAGGCATGCCTAACAAGAGTCCCTCCATGTCGCAGTGTTAAAAGGCAAATACATCACAGCGGTGTCTATCATTCCCCAAAGGCAAGCGAGCGGCGATACAGCACGTCCGCACAACAATGGACTTCCCTGGACGTAAACCGGCAGGCTTCACGGCGCACATCTACCTTTCACATCGGCAAAAGCAATCTATCGATTATTTAGTGATGTGGAAAAGATGGTAATTTTCCTTCTTCTTCTTTAATTATAAAGCTTTTGAGCAAATAAACTTTTTGGAATGTTCTATTGGAACAAGATCTTCTGGAGATTTCTCAAACAACGTAATACTCAAATAAAGCTGAGAAGCTGAGCTTCTCGAAAGAATTTCGATGACGTCTTTCTATCACGCATGAGAAAACAGTGATTATAATTTTGTGGTAAAAAATAGAACCACTCCATATAAACATTAAAAGCCTCCACCACCAACACATCACAGCTACCACCCCTACCTCCACCCTGACAAGGCCCCCGTTTCAAGATACAGCAAGTGTCGCTGCCACTCCCACTCCAGCACACACGGGACCGGAGCCGGTGCGACAGCCAGGCACTGAGTGGCGGCCTGCCGGGGACAGCAGCGCGCGCGAGCCCGACTCTGGGGACCACAGCAGCGCGCGGCCCCCGTGCCGAGCGTGCCGCCTCAGCCGGCGCGGAGGAGCGCGCACCGCCGCTCGCTCGGCGGCCGCTCTAACTCACGTTCTGCTTCCTCGTGCGCGGGTAGACGAGAAACAGCAGCAGCTGCAGGCCGCAGATGCACGTGCAGATGATGTTTGGCACCTGCAATGGAGAAAGGTGGCATGAGGCGCTGACAATGCAGGACGTCGACTTCCCGTTCACGGTAATTCGCAAATACAAGCCCGACAAGTGAGGATAGCTGTGCAAGAATGACACACTGCCAATGAGCTCACTTCACACTTGTATACTACATTTTATAGTACACTGGTGAAAAAAAAAACATTACGGCAACAATTAGCTACCCAACCCCAATTGGGATGCTGCACCTGTACGACGCTGTCGTACCTGAACGAAGCTGTCTCCGATCATGGTGCCGTAGACGGCCCACTGCAGCATCACCAGGAACGTGACTAGCAGCAGCGGCAGCGGCAGCGACTCGGTTGACTTGCTGCGGATCACCTCCGCCTAGGGAGGGGGGCGGGGCTCAGTGAATCGGATACGGCCGAGGGGGACAGTCGTCAACGAACACGGGGGAGGAGGGGAGGCAAACGGGGTCCAAACACGGACAAAACGAGAGGAATAGTCAGAAAACGGTAAACGGGGGAGAGAACCAATTTCACGTCCATATCACGATCAGCATCCGGCATGCAATACCTACCTGTATTACATCGATATTGTATGTATAAAGGAAAAAAATCCGTGTTACGAAGGTGAGCCGTAGCCCCTATCAGCCCCAAACTCCCTCCATATTCTGCGGACTGACCAATAATACATTCCTACATTATACATATGAAGTGCATATGATGCGGACTAACCACGGAGGCGAGCGGCGAGGCCGAGAAGGCGATGCTGGCCGAGGCGGCCATGAAGCCCAGTCGGTACTGCGCCACCTCTCGGTCCTGCTCGTGGAAGTCGACGTACCAGTAGACGGCAGCAATCAGCGCCACCATCGCCGCGACCTGACGCCGCACCGCCGTCAGAGACACCTGCCAGGTCAGAGGAAACACACAGCTTAGTCAGATGCATACCGGCGGTCAGAGGAATCACAGCACAGTCAGACACCTACCGGCGGTCAGAGGAAACACACAGCTCAGTCAGACATCTGACGGCGGTCAGAGGAAACACAGCAGTCAGAAACCAACCGGCGGTCAGAGGAAACAGCACAGTCAGACACCTACCGGCGGTCAGAGGAAACACATCAGTCAGACACCTACCGGCGGTCAGAGGAAACACACAGCTCAGTCAGATGCATAGCGGCGGTCAGAGGAGACACACAGCACAATCAGACACCTACCGGCGGTCAGAGGAAACAGCACAGTCAGACACCTACCGGCGGTCAGAGGAAACACAGCAGTCAGATGCATAGCGACGGCCAGATGAATCACAACACAGTCAGACACCTACCGGTGGTCAGAGGAAACACACAGCACAGTCAGACATCTGACGGCGGTCAGAGGAAACACAGCAGTCAGAAACCAACCGGCGGTCAGAGGAAACACATCAGTCAGACATCTACCGGCGGTCAGATGAATCGCAGCACAGTCAGAAACCTACCGGTGGTCAGAGGAAACAAATAGCACAATCAGACATCTGGCGGCGGTCAGAGGAAACACAGCTCAGTCAGACACCTGGTGGCGGCGGCGGCAGCCAGAGGAAACACAGCACAGTCAGACAGCAAGAGGAAACATAGCACAGTCAGACACCCACCGGTGGTCAGAGGAAACACAGCACAGACAGACACCTACCGGTGGTCGGAGGAAACACAGGGCCGACTGAGCACCCGGAGCAGCGCTTCTAAAGAATATGGGCTAGAAGTATCTCAGTTAGATCAATATGTCTTATCAATTATGTCTGCAATTATCTAAAACAGTTAGGTCAAAAAGTGCGGTATAGGGAAGGACGGCAGCTGGCTGGCAGAGCCGCGGCTGTATGGCGGCACTGACCGAGGCGCAGCTATATGTGTGAGCGACTGAGCCCACCCACTGACCGAGCCGCGGCTATATGTATGAGCCCACCCACTGACCGAGCCGCGGCAGTAGCGGTAGTAGAAGGCCAGGTAGGCGGCCTGTATCAGCAGACCGGACAGGTTCACCGCCATCATCGGCGCATCGCGGATCACCGTGCCGTACTTGAACCACACCGAGCAGCTGAAACAACACAGACAGACGCAGTGATTAGACACGCAGCGGCAAACCGCAGAGTCTGCAGTCAGGGCGGTGAGACACACTGTCTGAACAGTGAGACACGGCCAAGTCCGGGCGATGAGACACAGAGTCCGGGTGATGAGACACGGAGTCCGGGCAGAAGGACGCCCGGAGACAGCGACACAGATTCCGGGCAGTCAGACACAGAGTAGGTATGGGTAGTGAGACATGGCGTACGGCGGGGCAGCTGGGCACATGGCACTAGGGAAACTGCACCGAGTGGTCAGCACGGTGGTTTATGAATATTTGATGGGCCTGAAAGCAACGATCACGATGCCAAATACGCCTGCACCATCGAAATTGACCACACGAACATGCCCCGAGGGAAAGACTATTAGCAAACCAAATCTTACAGCCAACTGAAGTTGAACAGCTAAGTATTCCCCAGACATTGATGAAGGTTCCTCTATGTAGACCTCAGCTGCCAGCGGTAGGACAATCATACTGCTACTGATACTGACCTAAACGTTCCTGCGGCGAATGGCAAACCGGATACGTCTCCAGCCTCGCCCTTCCGTCGTACTTTCAGGCAGATCGGCCTGCCGCCCGGAACGGAAACGTCAGACGAAACACACTACACACGTCACCGGCCTGCCCCGCGGAACGGAAACGTAAGACGGCACAGTACACTACACACCTAGTCAGTCTGCAGCACGGAGCAGCAAGTAGGGCTGACGATAGGGCAGCGTCAATACACATTAAAAGTAGCACAGCGAGACTACCCATGAGAGATGAAATAAAAACAGCTATTTTATATCCCAAGAAATAATGAGAAATAATGAGTCTTAGGGACTTGATTATGATGTTGAACTTTACTGAAACTGGTTTGAAGTACACCTATATGGACGATTACTGCCACAAGGCTTCAATTTGCTATGGCTTCTAGGCACTTGTACTCACACCCCTGTGAGGAACTGGCCGATTGTGCTGATGGTCGCAGTTACTGATATTATCGTCTTGGCACTCATCATGTCATGTATAAAACTTCTGGAAGCTTAAAACTGAAACAAAATCATTTCACAATGCACCAAGGGTATTTATGGTACCGCAAAACCAGAAGTGAAATCACCCCAATGTCCATGCACATTGCACAGTTAATATATCAGCAAACACCATGATGGCCATGATCAATTGATGCTGAATGCAATAGATAATGGCAACTCTGAGAGGATGTCTACCAACTAGGCACATACGCAGGGTGAGATCGCTGGGTTTTATCAAGTTATTGTGTGACTTTTTGTAGTTTTGGTGACATGTAAGTATCATATCTTGATTTAGGATGTCAAATAATGGAAGAATGTCTCAAATTTTTCCTCTGAAAAGTGTGCCGGTCCTAAAAAATATTTACAACAAATTCAGTGAGGGGACCTGCAGTGCGCGGCTGTGTGCGCACGTTTAACTTTGGCCTCCAAATTTTGCCATAGAACTGGAATTGTGCAGTCGGAGGGTAGAGGGCAGGGTCACCACAACAAGCTTCGCTTTGCGGAGGCTCTGTCCTTGTGAATCCTTCCTATCATAAGGTTCGGAGTTTCGGACTAAATTTATAAAAAAATAAAAAATATGGGAATTATTGGATGATCCATGATATTGATGAAATTCTGGGAAAAGCCAATAACTTGATATATGCAAATTGCAATAGCAGCCACAGCCAGAGACCACAGGCTTCGGTGAAAACTGGATTGCATCAGCTGGCTGGCCAGCTGGCGACGTACGATAGGTATTTAAATATAGATATAAGCGAGGTAGTAGGATGGACATAAATATTTCAAATGGCTTTGACTGAAAAATTGATAGGTAAATATTTATTCTTTTATATCTAGCATTGATGTGTAAGAAGCTCTCTAGCGCCACCATTTGGCGCCAGCTGGCAAATAATCCAGTTAACACCAGGGCCCGGGATAATTACAATTATTGACATATCAATATTGATATGATTGACAACCATTGCCATTGCAGCCTGCAGGCGATTTTTCTGTTGACAATAGTCGTCCTTTCATATCTCAGAGGTCCACACTCCACATTCTCACACCTCACATTGGTACTGGGATGTCTATTGCCTATATCAATGAAAAAAGAACAGAAATCATTGTAGCTATCTATGATAATTCAGAATTTTCAGGTTTATATCAATATAGCTTTGTATTTTACGACCTAACCCAAGACCTAACCAAAAGGCTATAAAACAACTAGGCACAGCGCCACGCCTTGTCTCAGAAGCGTCAGTGTAGCTGGCTGTTATCATTCATGTGGCAGAGCTAAAGTACTGACATATTTTACCCGCTGATGACTGGACAACACTATTCGACCGCCACCCTTGCCTTGCAGCCATTATATAACTCAGGAACTACTGGACCAATCCGACCGAACGAAACATCATTCGAATCAGGGGGTACGACTTTATCAGCCGCTTCGAAGATCGTGACCCCAGGTGATCTCGGTGACCTCAAAAGGCCAACTTGGCATTGACACCTACCTATTGCTGCCATTCTATAACTCAGGAACTATTGGGCCGATCGCGACGAAGAGATTGCCAGTCGATTCAGCGTATGTGATTTCATCAGCCGTTTTGAATATGGTGACCTCAGGTGACCTCGGTGACCTTGATCGAGAGGTCACATGACCGCTGTGAACTATCTATAGCAGCCGATCTATACCTCAGGAACTACTGGGCCGATCGTGACGAAAACACCACCAGTCGATTCAGCGTATGCTATTTCATCATCCGTTTCGGATATGGTGACCTGAGGTGACCTCGGTGACCTTGGGAGGTCACATGACCGTTGTGGCCTATGGCAACCATTCTATAACTCAAGAACTACTGGGCCGATCGCGACGATAACAACACCAGTAGAATCAGCGTATGCGATTTCATCAGCCGTTTCGAATATGGTGACCTCAGGTGACCTCGGTGACCTTGGGAGGTCACATGACCGTTGTGATGAAGTTGGTCGAAAGGGGTCATCATTCGATTCGGCAGGTCTTCCTGAGTCCATTGGTGGCTTTACCACATGCCGAGATATCCCTTTAACATTAGCACGTGCATTTGGGAAATGGCTTCGGCCCGCCTCGGCTAATGTTGAAGGTATTTGGGAAACGATTCGGCCCTAGGGCTTTTTGATTTTCCCAGACAAAATTTTACTGAATATTCTGAGCGGAAGAACCAATTCCAAAGAAGATATTTACGAATTGTGTGTTCACTAACAGCAACAGCAGAAGTGAGCAAAATAAAGTGACTGCGTTTTCACTTACTTTTGCTGTCAACGTAATTCAACTCAACAAGGGTAGAGGAGAGTGGGGTGGGTTGTATCAGTTTTTACTCCGAGACCCATAACCTCGTAACTATCCGTGATAAACTCATTATTTCCATACTATCCCCTTCCTTGATTCTTCTGCTTTTTTGTGCAAAGTAACTTTTCCGCTACCTCTACCAGTTTTTCTTCTACGGTCTCCCGAATAGAACAATGTTTTTGATACAACTTGCCCCATGGCTTGGGTGAGTTGTATCACATGGTGGGGTAATTTGTATCACTATTTCACGTTTCAGGGAGTGTGCTTGCTACCCAGCCAGCAATTTTGCTCCGGGCCCAAGCAGGCTCAAGTGCGGATTGCCCGAGATTTTTAGTCGGGCTAAAGTCGGCTAGGGCTTGGGCTAAAGTCGGCGTATGACACAAAAACGCCGACTAAAGCCCATGCTCTGCCGGAGGTATGCCCGCTCTGCGAGCTCCGGACAGCCGTAGTTTAGCCCTAGTTGAGCGACGATTGGCGTTAGCCCGATTTAAGCCCGAGCAGTGAATCCATTTATATAATGGAGATTACTCTGGGCCCGAGCGGGCTGAACTCCGGCAAGCCCACTCTGTGTGCCCTGTCTATCCCGACTTAAGCCATAGAAGTGAATGGGGTTTATACATTGCAAACTGCTGTGGCTTTGCTCGGGTTCGGCTCGAGTGACGGCTCCTGTTTTCTCAAGTCTCGACTTGACTTCATCTTGCTTTTACTTCACACTGGATCAAGTAGCAAGGAGCAGCCAATGCACTTTCAGCAGGTTGTGCGGTTTCAATGCATATTTAAAATTGTTACGGTCACTCATATGCTCTGTTAACCGGTCATCGAGCATTGCGAAAGGAAAGTAGTGGTTGACTTTGATTGAATGTATATTTCAAACGACTACAGACACTCAAATGAAACACAAATACATGAAACAGTGGACTGCAAACTGCAGCAATAATATGGCATGAGTCATGAAAAAGCGCCATCAAAACTATAAAACAATCAAAGGCCCGCTAGCCTCCCTCCCCGTTCATAATACTTGGTTGAACACTCAACCGAAAGCACAAAGTAAGGACAGCAAGTAATCGCTCATAAGACATAAAGCAATTAGCAAACAATCGTTTATAAGGAACTTTACTCTGGTGAATGGGAGCTTTGGAGGCGTCTGGCTCCTCCACACACACACACATCTGCAGTAGGTGGTCGGCCAACTTTCGGCGCAGTTTCCGTATCTCCGTAGGTATACCGTATTTCCGTAGATATACCTACTTAACCCGGCCGGGCCCGGGGGGTAATCCCAACCACCGCAGCCCGGGGGGGGGGCGTTTTTCGCCCCCCTGTCTAACTCCGTAAATAAGGGAGCTACGGAAACAAAAGCGATACCAAACGAAAGGTCCTTACGAGACGATTCTAATGCACCTAAAATTTTTGACCTCAGGTCAATTTTCAAGGTCAGAGGTCAAGGTCAAAGGCCAAAACCGGCACATGTGTAGTGATCTCAATGTAAGCCTTCTAGAGGACGGCAGGCTGCATCAAACCGGCAAAATTGGGTGTCAAACGAAAGAAGAGAATCTGAGGATTCTGAAAATGTGCTCCAAATCAAAGGTCAAGGTCAAGGTCACGCTCAAAATTGACCTCAAACTTGGCACTTTTTCGCACATCTTGCGTGCTAACTTCCAAGGTGTTTTGAAATGTTTTGAGGCTTATCAGTTCCCTATTTGTGGTTCATCTTACGATACAAGGCTGCTCAAAGGTCAAGGTCACAGAAGAGTATCCCTGCTAGAGGCTATTTCACTGATTCAAGTTAGTAATAATAAATAGGACAATTTTGCCATCCGGAAGCTCTAAATGAAGGCTTAGAGGAAAATAGATGCCAGATTCGTGATCAGCGGATACAAATCCATCATAAAAGACCTTTCATGTGTCAAGGTCAACCAGAGGTCATTCGAGGTCACATGAGGTCAACATGAAATTTGACCTTTTCCGAACAAAATATATATCATTCGACGCGGCTTGACTAGGCGAATGCGATGGTACTACTGCCGTAGCACTAGGACCATTTTTGTCGAAGTTATTTGCGAAAAACTAAAACCACATTTCGGGGTCGTTGACCTGACCTCTGACCTCAGGTCACCAAAACTATTTTTCTATTTTTCTCTAGGTCAAACGCTACAATTTGTCTTTATCTCTAAAACTCTATTTTTAGCAGCTATTTGAAGTTTGCGTCTGTGACGCCGAAGTTTGCCGTGCAGGGGTTTAGAAAAATGGACCTTGTGACGTCATCAAGGGGGCTAGGTCCAAATTTTTTACTTCAGAAGATGTCAAATTGATGGGAGAAAAGGTACTGAAAGTTTCGCCGTCCTATCCCTAAGCGTTCGGGAGTTATCGCAAATATTCGCCAGGGGGGGCGAAAAACGCCCCCCCCGGGCCCGCGAGGGTTAATTATAAGCAGGCAGTTTCCGCTAAACCACTTGGCGAGGGCGACTGCGGCGTCCACCCGGTCCTGGTTTGTATAACTATTCCATTTTTTGGAGCCATTTGCTCTAATGGTACGTACCTGAAAAAGAGATTAATTGGTTTAATTTACATTGCATGTTTGCTTGAAAAATAACTTATTGTTGCATCAATACTGTAAAAGCACTTCTCATTGATCCGTATAAAATGGTCATTCGATTTTCAACGCGGACAGAGAATGAGCGTCCTCGGTGATAAGTAGATAAATATTTGTGTTTTGTATTTCATTTTCCTGGTTCAGAAATCAGAAGTGCTGGTATTTCACAAAGATATAAAGGCACGGAATGCGGCTTTTCTGAGCGAGGGTATATGCCAGGCTGAACAGCTATTCAGATTCATGCTTGATGGCGTGAAACTCAGTCAAAATCATGACGTTTACATACGATCAAGCGCACCATTCAATACACTTACCTACCGTAAAACTTCACGCCAGTCCACTTGATAAGAGCAGTGAGCACTATCCCTTCTTCGCGCTGTCACACGCGCCCAAACATCAACCACCAAATGCCTCAACACCGGTGTGTCGTTTCGTCGCACAGCGCACAGACTGTCACAAACGCTGCACATGATTGGCGCAGAACTGCGCATGCGCGAACAGCCGAACAAGTATGGCTAAGCTCCGGCTTTACTCCAGTTAGCCGAAGGACACAGCCAGCTTGATCAGCCCGCGCTCCGCCCAAGTTAAGCCTGTTTTGGATGCGCGGGCAGATGTCGGGCTGAGCTACTGCTATCCGCACGTGGGCATAGCTGCGGCATGCCCCAGCTCAGCCCTAGTAAAAAATGCATTGGTTTTGATCAAAGTGGGCAAACCCAAGCTAAGCCCAAGCTGCCCGACGTTTGCCACAGTTCAGCCCAAGCGAATTGCTGGCTGGGTACTGGTTTTGAACATAACAACAACATTAAATGGGGTTAATACGATGTATAGGTATGCTCAAAGGCTTCACTTTATTAGACCAAACTTAGGTCAATGCAATCCGAACGAAACATCAACAGACTAGACGCAAAAAATGCCCGTTAAGAGCAAAGAAGCCAACACATTGTGCCGAAATGGAACGAGCATTGACTAGCTACCTACAAACGCGAGCCAGGGCTTAGCTTTCGCGATCAAAAGCAACATACCCATACCTACATACATACATACATGTTACAACATACCCCACCCGGCTCTGATACAACATGTACCTAGCCGCCATCTTGGAAAAAACATCCTCGTGCTCTAAAAACAGCGGACAGCTGGAGAAATCCGTTTTCACTCACGCAGCCTTAGAACCTACCCTCACCACCGCTACGGAGATCTTTCAAATTCGTGCACATCTAAATGCCCAAAACACACATTTTCTTGCAACTTATTTTTTTAGAATGACATTAAAAACATAAAATCGGCTCTCACCTCGAGACGCGTCCAATCAGCCACAAGACAGAACAG